GAGACAGTCACATCAGTCTCTGTACAGAGGAGCTTACACTCTAATGCACAATGGCACCGGCAGTAGGGGGACTACAAATCCCAGCAATACATTTATACACCAATGCAGAAGAGTATATGAATTTGGCTCAGGGCTTAGCGACCCGGTGGACGCAGGGATTAGCGACCAGATGGACGCAGGGATTAGCGACCTGCTGGACGCAGGGCTTAGTGACCTGTTGGACGCAAGGCTTAGTGACCCGCTGGACGCAGGGCTGAGTGACCCGCTGGACGCAGGGCTGAGTGACCCGCTGGACGCAGGGCATAGTGACGTGCTGGACTCAGGACTTAGTGATGCGCTGGACTCAGGGCTTAGCGACGCGCTGGACTCACCTGAGAGTGACCCTGCAGAGCCCACCATAGATGCTGCACAGCCCATCTTAGACTATCTATACTGGGATCTGAAGGGGTTCTAAGGTGGGCTGGTCAGGGGTGCATCCCCTCCCTCCTTCCTAGCTCCTCTTACCTGCACACCAGGCCTCCTCTGCCGCCGGACTGGCCGGAAGTGACGTCAGGAGCAGCGTCGCTGATGGGGCCCCAGCTTGTCTCGAAGCCGCTGGAGCGGCAATGCTGGGGCCCTGCGCTGCTAGGGCCAGGCCTCCGCCGCCGATGCAGGGGCCCGTTCGCCTCCTCGCTCTTCACCGTCGGCCGATATTCATGTAAGGGTCTCGGGCGGGCCCCCCAGGCTGCCTGGGACCCTTACATGAGTATCGGCCGTACCCCCCTGATGGCTGCCCTGGGTGCGAGTTTTCTGGTCAGGACGCATACATGTTCCATTCCGGCGGCGTATGGATACGATCACCCGCACCCCTACGGACCTGCAAATGAGGTGAGCGTAGGGGGGCGTACGGCCGCGTAGCCCCATAGAGAAGGACGGGGGCTGCGTTCTAATCACACACAGCACCTGTCCTTCCCGGCAGCTACTTGGTACGACCCCGCACGGAGCTGTCCGTGCAGGCTGATTCGTGTGTGAATGAGACCTTAAGCACAATCCTTATTTTATTGCAGGTGTTGATATAGCACCAACAATTTACATATTGTGCATTCACATCAGTCCCTGCCCTCTGAGTTTACAATCTAAGGTCCCTGTATCCAATGCATCCTCATACTAGGGTGGATTAGACATGAGCCAATTAACCTACCTGGTGTGTGGGAGGAAACCTATGCAAGCAGAGAGGGAACATGCAACCTCCTTGCAGATACGGTACTGACTGGTATATGAAGCAGGGACCCTCAGTGCTGATAGGCCACTACTTTTTTTTAGCGTAATGCAAACCATCAAAAACGGATGTCAAGGGGGCGTGGCCTGGACGCAATGGCGGAGAGTCGCATTTGAGCTGAGCTCCGTCTGGACCCTCTGCATCCGCACCCATCCTACCCCATCTCAGCCTACTATTAGCCTGCTAACCATGGTAGGAAAGTGCCGGACATCATCGAGGCTCCCAAAGACTCCAAGGCCGCCGAGGGGCTCGCTGGACTCCTTCCTCCGCAATCGGAGGACATGTGACCAGGCCGCAGCCAACATGGCGCCCGGCAGCACACATACCGCCGGCTCGCCCTCAGATATTGGAAGGGATCCCGGGGAGATCCAGCGGTGAGAGTGCGTTCCACAGTGGAACGCACCAGGAAGCGGATCGCCTCAGTTACGCCCCCTCACTGACGCCGGCCGATGCGTTCCAGCCTGGAACGCGTAAGAGGCGAGACGCCGCTGCCCGTTTTCCCGCCTCTACAGGCTATATAAACTCGGATGTCAGGTTAGCACGGCGTACCACTATTGAGGACCGAACGCCCTGCTAACCCTGCAACCGAGGCCATATTCAGGACTTTCCTCAACCCCAGCGTACCTTGAGCCCGCATCTCTTCCTTGGAGCCCAGCCACCTCAGGACATCTGCCTACACCAGGTGACCGGATTGGTCCAGGACACCACCACACCAAGCCAGCCTGCCAGGAGGTTTCCCACCAGGACTTCCCCATCAGCGAAAACTGCAAGTACTCTGCAGCTAGTCCTGCAGACTATAGCAAGGTTTCCCCAATTGGGTATAGACTGTAGCTAAGAACGCTAGGTCGTGTAAAGGCTGTGCTGTTTTCTCCCTGCCGGTGCCTGGAAAAAGGAGAGGTTGAAGGGACTACGAAACGGACTACACTAATATATCATTTATCTCTAACACTGCTCCGGCAGTACTCCTTAGTTTCATCTTATTCTACGCATCTCCTACAGAGTGGTATATGACGCAATAGCTACTACTGTAACGCATATCTCGACGTAAGGCCTATGATGCAAGGACCTCTAACTCACCGTTAGGTTGTGAGAGACGCCAGAGGTCCAAGACTGAATTGCCGTTATACCCCTCATTCTGAGTCCAGATCCCCCAAACTCCGCCGCTGAGATCCTGCATACCTACTCCGAGCCTACCGGGCGTTACAGGTATGCCTCGCCCCACTCCGCTCCCCTCACTGTTCACAGAGGGTGACCCCCACGGCGAAGAGGGATCCCCGAGGTCAGGGTTCTCTGACGCTGCCACATCTGAGGGAGAAGACCCAGACTGGGATCTGAGAGCAGTCCTCAGGT